TAACTCAAACCAGAATGCTTCCTTTTCACGAGGCCTTGTATGATCCTATGGGTTTAGTGTTTTCGTATACAGTGGACCCTCTAATTTCATGATCAATCCATTCCAGAGAGTCTGCCGAATGTTGAAATTCATGAAAATCAAAACCATTTTCCTCATTAATATAAAACCAGTTAATCTTTTTCAGACACCCAAAAGTATTAACAAAAAATGCATTATTCAGAGATTAAATATAGATTTACATACAGAAAACAATTAGAAATATAAAGCAATAATAAAATGTATAAATGAACATTTAACATCACACTTACCCTTATTGAAGACTTGTTGGTGCATGGCAGATGGGGAGGAGGGGAGAGGGAGGCGAGTTTATTGTTTGGAGACAAGACAATATGCTTCAATATGATGCTAATATCAACTCTACAACTTATTTATCTATCACAATTTATCTAATGTGACATAATAAATAATGTTAATAACATAGAAACATGATATATACTCTAGAAAAATATGTCATTACTTATGACTAGTGGTAGTTCTATGTTGTTTGGTTATCAGGGCCACTGGCGGCATAAACCATATAGTGGTGGCGGCGGCGGCGGCGTTGTCAGTGGCTCTATATACCTCCAATTAACTTTGGAGGAATAATTAAGTTTTCAAATTTGTTTAACGCCCCCTTTTTCCTATCGCTTAATCGCTTAAGTTACTTGCTACACTGTTAATGCTACAGTCTATCATTGCCTGGCGTTATAGCCTCTATCTACTCGTGCTGCTTTAGTATTGTACATATTGTAGAATCACTTAAGGCACATTATCCCCTCTTCTTCCTCCACTTTGGCACTTTGCTATGATTTCTTTCTTTAATTCTATCTTGTTTCTCACCTTCTTTACCAAAGGGCTGGTACTAGGAGCTTTCTTTTGGCCCATGGTGGCTTATTTAACAGTTGCAAGCACAAAAACAATGGATTATTACGAAATGTTTCTATGAACGCGGGGGTGATGCTCAGTCACCAAGAAACAATGCCAAACTGTCTCTTGAATGCGTCTGTAGGAGGCTTTGTGTGTGTTGGGCCACTGGGACACATACCGAATGGCCGCCAAATTTAGCGGGAAGTCACGAAAATAGAGGCTATTTTGGCGAAAAAAATTGCTGATAATCGAAATTCATGAAAATAGAGCCTCACAAAATTAGAGGGTCCACTGTATATATGTATATTTTTTTTTTAATGTATCAGCCATTTCCCACCAAGGCAGGGTGACCCCAAAAAAAAAAAAAAAAAAACCCAAGAAGAGAGGAGAAAGATCTTTCATTATCATTCAACATTTTCACCATTTATAAATGCATATTTTTTTTAGGAAGATAGGGGCAACTGATATATCGGATCATTATTTAATTGTAGCTACAGTTAGAGTAAGAGGTAGATAGGAAAAAGAGGATGTGGACCAACAACAAGTAATGAGGGAGTGACAGTGTAAAACTAAGGAGGAGAGGAAGTTCGTGTGAGATATAAGCGACAATTGGCAGAAATGTGGGCAGTGCAAATATGAGTAGGGGGGCGGGGTTAAGGAGGGTTGGAATAGTATTAAAAATCAGTATTAGAATGTGGGGAAGAAGTTTGTGGTTGTTTTATTTGTATAGGAGGGTGGGGGCAGAGAAAGAGGATGATTGGTGAATGATGAAGTAAGGGTGTGAAAAAAGAGAAAAAAGGTAGTAGATAGGTTTTTTTACAAAAGCAAAGTGTTTATAAGAAGAGCAGAGTATATGGAGATTAAAAAGAAAGAGGTAAAGAGAGTGGTGATAGAGTGCAAAAGGAGAGCAGATGATAGAGTGGGAGAGGCACTGTCAAGAAATATTTAATGAAAATAAGAAAAAAATTTGGAGTGCGTTAAACAATTATAAGAATCCAGGAAAATATGATTTGTCAGAGTTACAAACAGAGTAGTGGGGATAGTAGAAGGGGAGATGGAGGTATTGGGTAGATGGCGAATATTTTGAGGAACTTTTAAATAGTAAGAAAGAAACAGAGTGCATAATTTCATGCACTGGTCAGGAGGTATACCATCTTTTAAGGATTGAAGAAGACAGAATGTAAGTGTGGGGACGGTAACGTGATGCCTTATTTAAAATGAAAGGGGTAAAGCAGCTGTAACTGATGGATCATGACAGAAATGTTAAAAGCAGGGGGGAATATAGTGTTGGGTGTGTTGTACTATTGTTTAATAAATGTATGAAAAGGGAAGGTACCTAGGGATTGTCAGAGAGCAATGTATATTCCCTTTATTATAAAGGGAAAGGGGGACAAAAGAGAAACTGTAAAAATTATAGAGGAATAAGCTACTGAGTATCCCAGGAAAGGTGTACGGTAGGGTTATAATTGATAAGAAATAGAGGTAAGACAGAATGTAAGATTTGCGGATGAGCAAGAGGTTTTAGATGGTGAGGGATGTGTAGATACAGTTTATACATTAGCAAATATGTGAACAGTAATATAGAGAAAGATTGGGAAGTTTTATTGCATTTATGGATTTAGAAAAGGCAATTATAGAGTGGAGTAGAGAGGCTAATGTGGCAGATGTTGCAAGTATAAGGAATAGGTGTAAGTTATTAAATCTGTTACAGAGTTTTATGAGATAGTGAGGCTCAGGTAGGTGTGTAGAAGAGAGGGAGACCTACTCCACGGTAAAATAGGTCTTAGACAGGGATGTGTAATGTCACCATGGTTGTTTATATATTATAGATGGGGTTGTAAAGAAGTAAATGCTGTGGTTTTGGGGTTTTTTTGGAGAGGGTTGTGATTAAATTTATGGGGAATCAAATTCAAAATGGAATTGAACACAGTTACTTTTTTGCTGATGAACTGTGCTTATGGGAGATTCAAAAGAAAAATTGCAAATGGTTAGTGGATGATTTGGAATGTGTTAAAGGTAAAAGGTTTAAATTGAACATAGAAAAGAGTAAGGTGATGAGGTGCAAAATGATTTAGATAAAGAAAATGGATATTCAAATTGGGGAGAGGATTGATGGAAGAAGTGAATGTTTTCAGATACTTGGGAGTTGACGTGTCGGCGGATGGATTTATGAAGATGAGGTTAATCATAGAATTGATGAGGGAAAAAAGGTTATGGTGCATTGAGGTATATGTGGAGCCAAAAACGTTAGCTATGGAGGCAAAGAAGGGAATGTATGAACACCATAGTAGTACCAACACTCTTATATGGGTGTGAAGCTTGGGTGGTAAATGCAGCAGTGAGGAGACGGTTGGAGGCATCGAGAAGGAACCTGTTTAAGGGCAATGTGTGGTGAATAATATTATGCAGAAAATTCGGAGTTTGAAATAGGAAAGGTGTGGAGTAATAAAGTATTAGTCAGAGGGCAGAATGAGGGTTGTTGAGGTGGTTTGGTCCATTTAGAGAGAATGGATCAGAATGTAGGGCAGTAAAATGAACATGGAAAGCATATAAATCTATAGGGAAGGAGGCGGGGTAGGGGTCCGTCCTCGAAATGTTGGAGAGAGGAGGTAAAGAGTTTTTGTGGGTAAGGGGCTTGGACTTCCAAAACCGTGACGTGAAGCGTGTTAGATAGGAGTGAATGGAGACGGAATGGTACTTGGGACCTGACGATCTGTTGGAGTGTGAAGCAGGGTAATATTTATGGAAGGGATTCAGGGAAACCCGTTATTTTCATATAGTCGACATGATCCTGGAAATGGGAAGTACAATGCCTGCACTTTAAAGGAGGGGTTTGGGATATTGGCAGTTTGGAGGGATATGTTGTGTATCTTTATATGTGTCTGCTTCTAGACTGTTGTATTCGAGTCACCTCTGCAAAAACGTGATAATGTGCGAGTGTGGTGAAAGTGTTGAATGATGATGAAAGTATTTTCTTTTTGGGGATTTTCTTTCTTTTTTGGGTCACCCTGCCTCAGTGGGAGACGGCCGACTTGTTGAAAAAAAAAAAAAAAAAAAAAAAAGATTGTACTTAGTATGGTAGGACTGCTGTGTCGTGGAGGAGGAATTATTCATTCAAGATTTCAGGTACATCTTGCTACTTCTACTTACACTTAGATCACACTACACATACATGTAGTGTGACCTAGTGCTTGTTAATTTCCGCTTATCTCCATGGAGAAGTGGAACAGAATTCTTCCTCCATGAGCCATGTGTGTGTTGTAAGAAGTGACTAAAATGCTGGGAGCAAAGGGCTAGTAACCCCTTCTCCTGTAGGTTACTAAATTTAAAAAGAGAAACTTTTGTTTCTTTTGGGTCACCCTGCCTCGGTGGAATATTGCCAGTTTGCTGAAAGAAGATTGTACTTGCTATATTACCCAACATGGCTTACCCCTTCACCTTGTATCCTTTTAATACACTATATACTGTAGGGTAATACAAAGACATTTATAACAGAGCAAGCCTTTATTAGACATTTCACTATAAGGTGAGCTTTCCAAGTCATGAGACATTTGTATCACAGAATGCCTTTAATACACAGCATTTCACTCAGAGGTGAGTGCACCTTTGAGTGAAATGTTTTTTGATAAAGGTTTCCTGTGTTATGTCCTTGTATTACCCTACTTGTTGGCATTTAGCCTTCCATTCCTATCGTACTGTGTTGTCCTCCTCATCTTCAGTCAAAAATAACACATGGTCAAGACCCATTGAATTAATTTTTTTCCACATTCCTTTTTTAGTTTCATATTAATTGCAAATTTTCATTCTCGGCTTAATATAAATTTTAGTACTTTATTTGTAAGTGAATGTTCCTATATTTCCACATATTCAGAAAGATTATTGTTGTGCCTATTCAAATGTAGTTTTTAGATTTTTAACTAAAGTTATTCAAATATTGAACAAATTATCGTCATCAGTTTAAGTGCTAAACCCAAAAGTGTCATACAGAAATATTGAATAAAATATTAAAATGGATAGATGAACAAGATCGAAATGAATGTGTAATAATACTATTAATTACACCATTCTATAATGCATTAAAGAATATACCCATATAGTCACTTTATTCACATGTTTATTTGTAAATAAATACACCTGCTTACACCACAAATACAAATCAGCATAGAAACTATAACGCATTATTACTATTCATGTATGTACACAATATCCATTCATAAAGATTTTAGTCTTCCTAACTGCCAGAACATATAAATCTTTTAACATATAAACAAACTTGTGGAGAAAATACAACAGCAGGTAAATATTTTACATTTCAGACTTATATTGAAACCCTCTTCAACAGTCTTTTGAAGATTATCCCTTTAAAGGTGCTTTGATGCCAGTGAAGGAATCTTGACCCAAGGAATTTGAGTTACCTTCCACTTCCTTGGATCAAACCTGACTACCTCCTATTCCTTAGGAGCTGTATGATCCCTACTGGTTAAGCACTTCCAAATGAATATATATTAATACTGAAGATAATTATTAGGCTTAGATTATTATAATCAAAACTAAGCACTAACCCCACCAGGGTCATATTAGGCTTACAGCCTGTCTACTACACGAGGGTCATTAAATATTTTAATTCCTAAACTATGGATTAAAATAAACTTTTAGCATATACATATATACCAAGAAACACATGCAAACCTAGTTTTACCCTTCAGTCTGTTGAAGAGTACCATAATATGAGACCAAAATATACAATTCATACCATACCAGTGACTATTGTGCAATTACTATATTTTGTGTATTTGCATATATAAATCTTGATGTTTAATGGTTACAACTTGTCTGACCAATGCCTTAGTTCATACAGTTTTGCACAATGTAATAAAGCATAATGAGTGTTGTAAACATTTTGCTTTGAATTCAGATAACATGAAATTTCTGTGAAAAATATTTGTAGCAAAGTATCTTCTGTCAGCTGCACTACTATTGCTCTCACTCTTTCTTCCCCTTTCTTTTTGTCTGCTCTTTTGGAGAACCTGTAACAAATTAATGCTGTTCAAAATATTTCAGTGGAATTAGAAAAAATATAATACAATATTTTATGAGATGAAAAAATAATTAGATACAAAATAAAATTTTTACCAAAATTTCTATAACTATAAACAAAAATATTGTTAATATGGTATTATATCTCAGCCATAAACTGAAACATACATTTGCAATACAAATGCTGTAATCACATTTTTTATCTAGGATGATTCATAAGCTGATTGATGTACTGACTATTGTCATACTGGCTCTGACAAGTGGAGTAATAAGGCCACCTAAGAAAGTGATCACTATTCATGCCTAAGTTTTATTTTTGAAATTGCTATGGATTCATCTACTCTTATGTTTGAAATATAACAGTGAATTAACTGAATCACCTCACTTAACTAGAGTGCACTCCCTATAGTCAGTATGAATAGCAATAGTAATCATTTTCATTAAAAAATAGATATAACAATGTTGACTTAATGGTTTGTGTACAGAATAAAACGGCTCTTGGTTATATTATTCAACTGTTGTTGGCAGGAGAGGTGCAGCAGTCATAGGTGGTGTCACATTTGTCCAATGTGGAAGTAGGTCGTGCCCAAGGGTTAGGCAAGCGAAGAATTCCTAAGTATTAAGATACCAAGAAGTTGCAGTGTCTGACAGGATTGTAGATGAATAGTTCAAAGAACCGACATGTTAAATTAGACACACGTACAACTCTTGGGTATCTTTATTGAGAAAACGTTTCGCCACACAGTGGCTTCATCAGTCCATACATAGGAGAAACTTGAAGAACAGGAGGAGAATGAGGTAATCAGTCCCTCAACCTTGAGTCGATGTGGTCAGTCCATCAATCTTCAACCTATGACTGCTGCACCTCTCCTGCCATACGGTTTATAAGATGCTTCTCTGCTTATATGCCGTATTCTATTCAAGATTGATGGACTGACCACATCGACTCAAGGTTGAGGGACTGATTACCTCATTCTCCTCCTGTTCTTCAAGTTTCTCCTATGTATGAACTGATGAAGCCACTGTGTGGCAAAACGTTTCCTCAATAAAGATACCCAAGAGTTGCACATGTGTCTAATTTAACAACATGTTGGTTCTTTGAACCATTCATCTACAAGTATCATATTGCTGATCTACAATACTGACAAGCTGATGAGTGAGACATGGGAAGCTTGAATATCTTTATTGCAGAAACATTTTGCTTGCACAGTTGGCTTCATCAGTTGAATACAGGAAAATATAACACTGGAGACAGAAATTAGTCCTGCAACCTTGATATTAACTGATCTAAAGCAGAGGCATGTTGCCAAACCTTATATAATGAAGTATAAGTGAGCTGTAGCAGCTGGAGATGACATAGGTGAATGTAGCCCACCAATGGAAGTAGGTCAAGCTAAATGGTTTGATGCAGCAATACCATTACTTCTCGCGAACGAAGTTCTTTTACAGCTTCCTTTGCCAATGGACTGTCCCTGCATGACACTTCTACACGTACTCTACCACCCTCCTTTTTGCTCCAGTGTATAAGGGGTTTGCATGCCCCTCTTTATGCTGAGTAAAAAACCACTTTAAAATCAAGCTGAGGAACTGATCACCCAAATTTACAGCTGTCCCCAGTTTTATATTACGTAATGTGCGACAAAGCCCCTGCACAGGCAAAACATTCCATCAATAAAAAAAAAAACC